ATCGCAACAAATCCAATCCAGCCACCCACCAAAACGCAACGTTGCATACAGTTCAAACAAACAAAGTCGCCAAGAATTATGAAAAGGCAGCGAATTTTGCACAGGGCCCAAAGCAGAAGCCCAATGAAATAATAATCACTGGCTAGGGAAATAAATATGAACCAGTAATGGATGAAAGACAGAGGCTTCAATTTTGCAATACAGCTGGCATTTGTTGCCTAACAAGTATGTCTGAAACCAAATTTAAGTTCTGTGTTGCCTTTTAAATTCTGCAATAAAATTTAAATAAACATAAAACTTTTAAAAATATTCGTTTGTGTTTTTCATAAACCATTCTCTATATCAGACCAGAAACAAAAGTGGAATAGAAAAAGGGAGCAAGGGGAAAAATACGCCAAATAGTCGTGGAAAAGTTATGAGCGATGTGCAGGTTGAAAAAATGCAACACGTAGCATTTGAATAAAATTTGTGAGGGAAAATACGAGCGGCCAGAGATCGGGAAATTTCGTGATAAGCGGAACGAGATAACAGCATAAAAAAAATATGTAGAACAAAGTTTGATTTATGGCTTCAGCTTGGAGATTTGTAGATGCAAACGAAAACAAAATCGAAATCAGTCGTACAAAATTTGGGTTTAGATTGGAGTAAAAAATTCAGTGGAGACTGAAAATTTTAAAAAATGAAAATGGAAAAATGCTTACACGCAAATTAAAAATCCTAAAACTTAATAACATTTCCGATAAATTTAAAACCAGCTTTCATCGTTTTTTTACGTGCCCAAAAAACACGCTCTTTAATACAGATAATAAAAAAAAAGACCAGCAGCAGATGGAGCAAGGTAATAGGAAAAAAACAGAGCCAAGATGAAATTGCATTATGTCGATTTTGTGGATTTTTCTATGCAAAGAGAAAAATGCACGGAAAAAATCGAGGAAAAAATGAGATAGAAGAGGAAGCTCGACTGGCTGCAAGTGGCTCAAAAAGCGCCTCAAGATGTGGCAACATTGGTTCGGGACAGCAGTTACTTTGCATCTTTTAAGCACTACTCGGTGGACGGGACACAAGAGTAAAAAAAATGCGATGCCAGTGGTAAGATTGGACGTAAAAGGATAAAGAAGTTTTCATTGGTTTCGGCTGCGGGCTGATGAAGCTGAAGCTGCTTCAGGTATTCTCATCCTCCTTTATCCAGGCTCATAAAAATCATTCATTTGCGAAAAGCCAAATTGCTGAAACGCAAGCCAAGAACTGAAGTGATAAGGATTAAATGGAATTTTAGCAATGCCTCTTAAAGTCTAAAATTTCTATACCATTTTGCTGCATCTCTAAACGCCTATTTAGATCATATTCTTAAAAGCTTCAAAGTTTATTACATTTTCACTATTAATTAATTTTAAAAAAGTTTGTTTCTTCTGGTTTATGGCATATTGATACGTTAACCAATAAAAATGCAATAAAAGTGTCCAATAATTCTTTTGAAGTTGATGAATTATGTCAGAAGAGGCTTTAACATTTTATTGACGAACATTTGACATTTTTTAATCTATAGAAATAACAATTATCAAATTGGGAACGAACTTTAATAGCTGTTTCGAAAAGAGTGAGAGCAAACTGTCCTGATTCTTTAAGCTAATCTAAAATTCTGTCTGATTCCAAACTTCAACTGAAAATACCTTTTGTAAAGTTCTTTCCGCCTGCTGCTTAATTTGCCAACCCCAGCCTGGATTTCGCCACCCCTTCCGCACACTCACCCATCCGAAAACCACGAGAACCCCCTTGGGTTTATCCTCTTAAAATTTGTGTTTATCTGGGCACACGACTCGATTAATTTCTGAAGGGCGAAGGAGCCAAGGCAAAGACGGCTAGGCGTGTTTTTAATTGCCAAGGACAATTAAAAACAATTTTGCAGGCACAAAAGAGTTGGCAATAAATTTAATTGGCCCGCTGCCGTTACGCCCATTGATTATTTTTCGGTGTGGGCGTGGCGGCACAGAGCACTTTCACACCTAGTGACAAGGTGTCCAGGGTTGCCACCGCCCAAGAAATTTGTAGATGGTGGATGGCGTTGGTTCGACTGGCTGCTTGCTTGCTTGGTTGGTTGGTTTTTCCGCCGGAATGGGGCGGCAATTTATGCGGCTGTCAGTTGCAGGGGCAGCTTGGATTTTTATTGGCACCCGGCACGCAGCCAGAACTCGTTCAGCTTCCTCTCAAGTAATTGCATCGAGCACATAAATCAATTGAATTGCATTTTCATGCGACAAGTTTGGCCAACCCTCGATTGTCTGCAAGTGAAGTGAAAGCCAAAAGTAGTTTTCCTCCGGGGTCTGTCTCTCATCTTTTTAGCTGGCCCCTCGAGCGTGGCGTAATCAATTGAAATTGCATGCAATGCGTCACTCGCAGCTCGAGCTAACCCCACAAACTTAAATTCCAAGACTAAGTCCAAGTCAAAGTCAACCAACCCTCTGTGTGGATGGGCGGAGTTGTTGCCCCATTCTCGGCTCACGTAAAAGATTATCGCCAACTTCGTTTATGGCTTATCAAATTAAATGATTAATGTTTCCCTATGTTTCCCCTTTCTTGGGCAGCGCTCGCTCCTGAAAAATGTCATCAGCAGTTTTCATTTCGGCTTTTCGTATTTTATTTTCTTGCCCGAAGTTCAAATGGTTTTCGTGTTGCGGTTGTCGGTTTGGTTTAAGTTTCCTCCAACATTTTATTGGGAAAGTTTTGTTTTTGTGGCGACCTTTATGCTTAGCTGATTTGTGGCTGGGAGAATTGTTTTGAAGCATTTAGTGTCAATAAGATCCGAAGAATTAAAACCAGAGAAGGTGTTGTTTTTATGGCTACTTCGATTAGGATTTGCAGCTGAAAGGTAAAATCCGCAAATTTGCTGTTGAATAACAAAAACTTTTTACGAACTTACAGTTTGTATTCAGGTTTTAGTATAGGTTTCAGGTTTAGTATATATTTGGGAATGTATTTGATTGCGTTTTTAAGGCTGTCATAATTCTGGTTCCACATTATCCTTTTCATATCCATCACCCAATCATCCAATCATGACTTACATCCTCTTTCGCCACGCACAAAATTCTCGAAATTCCATCAGCAAAAGTTTTCATCATCCACAGAGCTCATGATCCACACACATCACATTAATCAGTCAGAACAGTGGGACAGACAGACAAATACGCACTCGAAAGTATAACTCATCAGGGCACAAATTACAAAGACAAACGATGACTGACAACCGCAAGGCTTTTTTGGCCCGAAAAGTGGGAGGGCGAGGTGGCACAAAGTGGTGGAAAGTGGAAAGTGGGAAGGGGAGCGAGGTCGGGGTCACCACTTAGCACCCACAATCCACAAAGCTGCAGCTGAAAACTTGGGCAAACCGGGTCCAGGGGCAGGGACATCAGCGTTTTTGTTAATTAAACAAATGCCGCAGTGACATGTGCACATCACGAGAGATGTGATGACTTTGCCGGGGTTTTGGTTTGGGCCGCTGCGGTTTATGCATCTGCATTCGTGATGGGGGGTTGCATATAGGGCCGAAATGCCAGAGAGTTGGGTGGCAAGGGTGATATGGGAGGTTATGGGTGGCCTGGGTGGTTGGGCGATGCTGGATTCAGTACCCACTGACGATTCCGCTTGACAAAAGCGCACACAAATAACGGGCGAAAACGGGCGACATCGCTGACAATGGCTCCGCATGCAATTTAATTTATTTCAATTGCAACGGAATTATTACGACAGACGACAAAGTGCCGTCGCAGAGCAATTTACCAGGCATCCCTTGGCGCTCCCCCAACCCCCCTTGGCATCCGAAAAGCCAGCTTCTTTATCGCTTTTTTAGGGAACTGTTAATAAACAAATTCATGTGCGAAGAAAGTAAGCGCAGCGAGCGTCGATTTCAATTAAACAGACGCGTGGCTCCCGTTGCCCACTCAAGCTGATAATGACCACAGTGGCGGCGGGAGGGGGCTTGGGGAGGGGGCCATTGCGGGGCTGAACGCCAAAAACTTGAACAGAATTGCGGTCAGGAAGTTAATAAACTTCATTAAGTTTGTGGGGGTTAAAACGGTTGAATACTTCAGAAAATGAGACAGAGAGAGACAAAGAATTATTGAAATAATATTTTTATGAAGTTGAACTGGTAAGGACAAGGCTAGTATTCTTGGGGAAATAAATAAAATAAGTATTTTAATATTTATAATCAATCAATTGAGTGTGTCTCATTTGTTTCAAACATATGTGGTGTCTTATCCTTTGTTTATTATTAGAAAAAAAGTGGAAAGTTATTTATGTTTGCACAGATGATACATGTGCTTCGCTTATTTAAGGCCATTATTATAATGCTATTTGCTTATCAATTTCAATGTACTCCTACTCGTAGCTAGTGTAAAATTCCTGTTCAAGATACCCAATTCCCTCTACCAATTCCCGGCTGCAATTTCGCAATTTCGACCCATCGTGGGTGGTTTGAGGCATTCAATTTCGCCACTGTTGAATTCGTTGTTGTTGCGGCAACAAAACACTTTTATTTTTGCTGTTGTTATTGCAGCTTTTGTTGTTGTTTGGCTTGGGCAGTTTCAAGTGTAAATTAATTTATGAGGCACGCCATGGAGCCGGCGCCAGGCTGCGGTCACAGAACCCCCTTACCCACCCATGAAAATCTGGGGACAGGGGAAATGTCAGCCAGAGTGTGAAATTTCATATTTGAATACTCGCCAAAACGATGACAAATGAAGTCTGCATAATTGGCTAACATTTGGTCATGGATGGGAAAGCTTTTAGAAAGATGAATACACAAAGAGAATATATAAGGTAGCTTGCGAGTAAAGCTCAGCCAAATCTAAATTATTCGACTTTAGAATACAAATGGTATTAGATGCCAAATACTTAAAAATAGCCAGGCATCTGTTCTTTTGTTTTATAAAACTCTCGGCAAAACTAATTTTCTTTAGTGTATGTCTGAAAAAGCGTATATGATTTGAGTTGATTTAACTCACCTTTCAGTGTGCCGATGAAAAACAGAGCGGCCAGCAAATTGAGATGGCCAAACATATTGGTTGTTGATTCCTGTCCAATTTTTGATTCAATCGGCTTCCTGCTCCGCTTGATAGCTGCAATGAAAGAACGTAAAAAATGAGAATGTAAATAATTATTTATTGCTCTAGACACGCCTGTGTGAGTCAGTCACTATAAGCGACAGACCAGAAGGCAGCAATTTGTTTGCTTGTTTGGCCGGGCATAATAGAGACATTTTTTGGGAAGAGGGTGTGTGTGGTTCTATATGCCCAGCCCAGGAAAACAAGTGCGGAAGAGGGCCAGCTGCCGCCCGTGATCTGTTACCTGTTACCAGTTACCAGTCACCGGTTCGCTGTCATCATTCAAATGCCATTTTCCTTGGGGGGCGGGCCACAAATTGCCGATTGACACGGCACCTGACGCTAATCAAAACTACACATGCACTTTTGGGGGCTCCCTTAGTTCATTTCCCCTCCCCTCAGCAATTAAGCCTGGTTTTGTGTGTTTGGGCCGGCTAAATTTTCATTACTATGGCTATTGTCTGGCCGAGGAACTGGGGGAATTTGAATTCGAATTGGAACCCATGGGTAAACCCACCACTCGCCCCAATCGTTCAATGATTGTCATCGTAGGTGTAACTAATTGTTGGTCATTTATCTTCTTTGCTTTCTTCTCGAATTTGATTTTTTTTCTGGTTCTCTCTGGCCTCTCTTTGTTTTTCGGTTTTCCATGGAAGTCATGAATAATTTCCGTTCTAAATGGAAAGGCTGGGCTTTCCCTTTCCCCAACTCTTCGTCTGTGTCTCTAATTGATAGATAATTGAAGGTCTCGGTGAGGAAAGGGCAATGTTGATCAATTGGCTTGGAATAAGGCAGCAGATGATGAATGAATCCCCCTGATTGAGTGGAGGATAAGATGGAGCTCAAAAGGATCATGAATGGAAATTCTTTGAATTGGCAAGCGGTGATGTCAACTTGGTGTTAGTTAGTTTTCATCTGCATATATTTTGTTGACTTTTAATTTATATTGAGCTGACAAGAGTAGTAAACATTTTTATAAATGCCCACAGCTTGAACTTTAGAAATTCATTTAAATCATAGACACCTCGTTCAGTCTGAAGATTAAATAACCATTTAGTTTTTAAAATAAAATAAAACTCATGCATGCACTCCAACAATCAATGTCCTCAAATGGTGATGGAAATTGGTGGCAATGTGTCAGCAATAACGCCTCCTCGCCTACAAAAATCTATCTCAAATCTCCGTCACGAAGTTTTATTTATATATTTCATGTGGGTCACTGAAACTTTTTGATTGACAAATGCAAAAGACATTTATGGTGCGGATAGAATAAAATCAAATAAATTAGAGCCTCGAATGACTGTCAGAAAGTGTTCGCATGCAGATGTAAACTTGGGCAATTCCACTAAACTAAACTTCAACTAGACTCCGACTATAATGTGACTTGCATATCCGTGTATCTTTTGTATCCTTCCATCTGTACCTCCCATCCGCTCGCTTTGTATCTGTTCGCTGGCACCGTAAACAAGTCAACAAGGACCGACTGCCATGGGCAACAGTCCTCCCACTTTTGCAGGTGGATTTCCCGCCTCCTCGACAGGTGCACAAAACGGAGCCCTAACATCGTCGCACACGTCTCATTTTCTCTTGCCTTTTTTTATTTCTTTTTTTTCGGTTGCTGGCAAACTAATTTCAAAGCAAATGCGATACTGTCGCAAGTGACTGAGACGAGGGCTCCCCAGCCTGTTGTTGGGTTTCCTCCAGTGGCTTGGGTTCATTTTTTTTGGTGGTTCAGGTGGCTCAGGTTGGAAGAGTGGTGCTCGTATGTCACCCTGTCAGCGATACCTTGGTCCTTAGTGACCTCAAATGGTGGCGAAAGTAGCAATAAGGTCCTCATTTTTAAGGGGTTTGTTCTTAAAGAGGTCCAAAAAGTATTGGGGTTTTTCGGCTTAAAATCTTTAGCAGCTACAAAATATTTAAAATATTCTTAAAATATTCTTAAAAGAAAAAACTTAAAGATGCATTTAGTTAAATTTTTTAAAGCATTGTTCCCATTTCTTTTTTGCATATTGTCTTATCTGAAAAACATATCTTTAACCTAGCCCCACCTACGTGTTTCTTTATTTTGGCCGCCTCATTTGCATAATTCTGTCGTTAAGTGACGGAAAAATGTAATCCAAGGAACGAGTAGAGCGATACCAGATCCCAAGGGAACCAAGTCCCACAAGTGCACTAGCCACCAGTAATTAGATTGTAAAGTTTACCAATAAAAATTCAAGTCTTATTTTTGCTCAATGAGAACATTGTTGGAAGCCCATAAAAAACACCAATGTGAACTTTTCATTTTGACAAATGGTCATTATGATCAGAAGTCCAAAAAGACAATGGCAAAAGCCTTGCAAGTGAGGAAAATAAGAGAGTGAAACTCGAAAAACTTTCGCTTTTCCCATTGTAGTTCATTGAGTTTTCAGCTGCTTTGTGTCCCCTGTAACAGAAATGTGTGAAAATTCTATGGGGAATGAAATGTTACCAGGGTCTCCGGCTCCATACCATTTTGCCCTTGGCCATTGAAAATTGAAAAGTTATCAATTACCATTCCTTTTGAGTGATTGACTTTCCCCATACCCGCTCTCTTTTTCGACTGAAAGTCTAGCATATGCCAAAAATGTTTTGTTTTTTCGGTTTTCCCTCGCTCATCGCACATTTTCCAAGCTTCTTCAGCTCAGGTTACAATTTCATGACCCGAAGCGTATTGAGGTAATTGAATTTCGGTTTTTGGCCAAGCGGCTGATGAGGTGGGAATAACTGAGGGAGCAGAAATGTTCAAATTACCAAGCGAAGAAATATACAAATTTGGGTAGGCAGATTAAGTTTGTAATTATTTAAAATTGAGCATTTCACTAAAGGTCAAGAGTAATTGGGAACCAACCTTATTCATCAAAATTTGTCGAAAAGCTTTGCTCATATCAATAGTCATAAATCACATTCCATTTATAAAGCTTCATTACAGAAACCCACCATCAAATGCTAATGAAAATTAACCCATAACAGCACCACTTAATTTGATTCACCAACTGAGCCACTTGGCTTGATTGAAGGCAGATCAAATTGCCCAAATAAAAACCGAAAGAATAACGTTGATGGGAATTAATTAATAAGTCTGGTCCATAAATACCAAAACGTATTTATATATAGATAAATAGAGGAAAGCAAAAATTCTATTGCGAGACGAAACAAAGAGGAATGTGTTTTTTTAGAATTTATTAGGTTCGTGTGGGAGGGCCACTTGCCGCGTTGCCAAATCTATTTCAAAACTTCATAAACAACACGGGTGAAGAATTTCCCTTCGGTAACATTTGAGAAATCTCCGTTCGAACAATAAACTGGGAACAACAAAAACAGCACCGAAATGAATTGAAATTTATAAACAACAAAAATAAGCAGTTTGTGCGCCTTAATTTGTTTATTTTGTGCTAAAGAGCAACACGCATCGAATGCCATAAAAAATCAACAGGCAGCATAAAAAAGTGAAGTGGTGGGGGCAAACTTACAGAATTTATAAACTGTGCAAACTCTGGCCGAGGGGCAGCCATAAAAAAGGCAAAAACTGAGCCGAAAGGGAATATTTATGCAAACGTCAATTGGCCTGCAATTGAATTGAGCCACGAGGCATGGCGCATGAGGAATGAAACATGAGGCATGAGGCACGTACTTTCAGATGCCCCATCCACCATCGGGATCTTTATGGAATACGCTATGGGAATGGGTTGTTGGGATATCTGATCAAACATTTTATGAAAAAAATATAACGTTAGTTATGATGAAAAACTCCGAATTGCAGTAAATTAATAATATTTACTACCTTTTTTGCAGTATTACTATTTGATTTTTTTGAAAATGAAACTTTTGCTTTAAAAAGTAAATGGAGTTCATTTTAATTGAACTTCCATTAGCCAAATTTTAATTGTATTTTTACTATCATGCCAGAGCATTTCCGATTCGGTCGACGGCTTCTCTCATTTGTATTTTTTATTAGGCGCCTCTTTTGCAGCCCGCCCAAATTGATATACAAGTCAGACAACGTGACGTATGAGTGATGATGCGTGCGCGCCTCCTTTTCGATTCACTCCCCCTTTCGCCGCCCACCGTGTAAACATTCAGCATATGATTGCCATATTTGCCATAGCGCCAGTTCCGAAAAGTGTTCGATAAATGGGAAATTAGGTTGCAACGACGCCGGCGCCAATTCAAAAAGAGGAACAATCGGAAAAGCGAAAAGCGAAAAGAGTTTCCAGTGGCTTGTTTATGCCCGTAGCAGCCACTTGAGGCTGTTGGAAAATCCGTCCCTGTCACCACCCCTTTTCTCCACTAATTTCCACCGTTTGATTGACTGACGAGCGAACGAGTTGAATGATTGCCCGCTGCACATATTGATTTGCATCTAGTGGATCGCCCATTTGCCGTAATTTGCCTTACACAATGCCATTATTTATTTGATTGATATGCCATATATGCGCCCTGTGTATATATGTCATCTATATAAATATACATGGCATAAATTTTAAAATTATTTGCCTTGGCTTCTCGCCATTTGTTTGCCGCTAATTTGACTGTCAATCAATCGGTGAATGCAAAAGTTTTTTTCTGTGCCACATAAATATTTCCCGTTCATATAATTCCATTTGTTTGATATAATTCGCTGACGTTCACTTTTTAATACTGGGGCTTAAAAGCAATATTATTCCCCGACAAAATAAATTTATCTCGTAATTTTTTTGCCATTCTTTACATGAAATCGATCACTTTGTTTTAGATATTTTTATCCATAAAATATTCATGATATGGTAATTTTCACACGGGCTATAGATGTCAATTGGTTAAAGTCCATAAGGCAGAGTAAATATGGTGGAAATAAGTGTGTAATGAAACAATGTGTTAAAATGTGAAAAGCATTTTTAAGCACGGGCTTACTTTTTTGTTTATTTTAATTAAAATTGTTACTGCTAACACAGATGTGTGAATATGTACTTTTAAATTAATTTAAGGTAACAATAAAGCTGAAACTGCTTCTTGATTACTTCCGAATAGGTGACTAATGAAATCTAATATTACCTTACCAAATGCAGTTTCTTCACTTTCCCCAAATATGGAAAACAGCCAACAGAAATATTTAGGTACATTAGGTCAATTTCAATCAATTCCGGACCAGGCTACTTTTTGCATCAATTTTTCATTGAATTTTTGAGTTTAATATTTATAACAAATTTCAACCGAATTTCCATGGAGAGTTGGAAGCTCAAATTAATTGCCGGTAAGAAATCCAAGAGGTTGAGAAATTTCTTAACAAATTTTCCGGAGAGCACGTAACAAAGGTTTTATTTATCTAGGGCCTAGGTCATCTCAATTGGGAATATGCCATAAATTTGCAGAAAAACGGAAAACAGAGCCAAGGAAAATACGATTTTACTGTGTAAAATATATTTTTGTGTGTCTTCACTTTCTGGCCTGTAACATCGTCGCCATCGTCATCATCGTCTTGGCCATCATTTATTCATGACAATTTTTGCTTCTCACAGCTGCAGCCAGGAAATGTGAAATGAAAATGGAGTCACAACTATGCCGAGTGCTTTGAGGTGAGTTTTCCTGCAAATGAAAAACCCACTCATCGATAATGCAGGCGAGAAACCGCAGGAAAACGGGGGCAAAGGAAATGTAAAGCAATATTCGGCCCATAAATGATGAGGAATTTACTTTTTTGGCCAGACGGTATCCGCAGCACAGTCAGAGTTTAGCTTACACTGTACCCATACCAAAACAAAAAAAAATGTATTTTCATAGACTAAGCTAGCTGACAGGAGGAAGCCCAAAATTCAAACTGTGCAAATGAGTTGGCCACAAAATGTCAGTTACAGACACCTCACCCAACTTTATATTCCCCTTTCACGAACCGCAAACGCGTCGAAAATTTTTGGGGGAAAGAAACGCCGGGAAGAAGTGGGTTGAAGTTTTCTTTTTTCATTTCGTGCAAATAAAATCAATCAATTTTAGGTCTGGCAAGTGGCAGTGGCAACCAGTGGAAATCAGCAGCTAAAGCAGCGTTCTAAGTGCTCGTCCGACACTGAAATCTATTTGCCAAGGTGTTGACAAAAAGTATGGAGAGAAAGGAAGAAAAATAGAAAAAGGACATTTCAAAAACTTTTACGTTCTCCAAAAAGATTACGAGATAAGCTGAATGTGCTTAAATTGATTTCTAATAGTTCGGTTAAATGTTTATCGGAGCCCTAATATCAATTCATTATCAAACTCTAAAATGGTTTATTGAATGAAATGTAAACTTTACAAATTTCTGGAAAATATTTTTATGATACTCGATTAAATATAATTTGTATTTGACGGGTGGCATTCTTTTTGTGATTTTTTGTTCTAAAATGTTGTTTACGATTAGTAGTGCATTCAAACCACTCTCATCGAGACGAGACTGCTTAACAAGTCATAGATGCCAGGACAAATCCGCACTTGAGTTCGGTTCCGTAATTAATAGAATCAACTGGAGATGCGAACGCTGAAGTGTTGAATGATTTAGCAGCCCCTTCCTTTTTCCATCTAGGGATTTTCTTTCCGAAAGCAGCGGGGAATTTTCATTAACAAAAACCGCAATGGGAATGGGAACACACAATTTCGAGCCCTGTGTCGATTTCTGTGTAATGCCCGAAAATAAAAATCAATCAACACGTTCGCTTAATAGACCATCGGCCCTCTGCTCAGATGTAAATGTATCTGCAAGATACATCTTCGAGTATAAGTATTGCACAAAGACAAATTGCTTTTGTCTCTAATTTTAACACGACTTTGACGGGCTCTTTTTCTCTCGACTTTGCTTTAATTTGTTTGCCGTGGGAGTGAAAAAATGTTCACACGGTTAAGGGTTTTTTTCTACGAGTGTTTTGTGTATTTCTTGAGTTCTGTTTGGAATTGATTGGCGCACGTTTTGCGCGTGGCTAAGCAAAAAAACCAAAAACATAAAACAAAAACCAGGAAAAAGTTTACCCAATAACCAAACAACAAGCGAGAGTAAGAGTAAAATTTTTTTATGGGGGCCCACGAAAAATGCATTTTAAAAAAGTTCACATTTACATTTAGGGTTTTCACCGCTCTGCTTTATCTTTCTTGGCTTCTTTTGCTGGTTCAATCTTTATTGAATGTCTGCCCGACGTCTCCAACTTCTGGTTTTTATTTTTTTGGGGCCAGCAGCACTTTGTGGGTGCTTAAAACAGCTGACAGGCCCCACTGACAGATTGATGTATGTTGATTCTCCCTTCTCTCCCTGGTTTCTCTGGTGAATATTTTCCACACTCTTAATGAAAATATTTCTGTTTGTGCTATTTTCATTTGACTTTGCGGCCTGTTCGAAGATTTATGTCTTTGCCGGGATTTTCGCCCGTCTTTAACCTGAGTTAATTTTTATTGGGGGGGGCTAATAGGGCGCACACCTCTTCGTCCCCTAAATCGCTGACAATTGGACTGTATTTGGGCTGATATACGTATTTACGTTTTGTTTCGGGGACTTTAACTTGGTGTTTTACAAATGTTGGATTTGTTTGGCTGGCGAAAAGGTCAATCTCTGTGTCTTTAAGGCACTCAAAAGCAGAACAACAACTCCAAAAAGAGTGATCAACGTCTGAGGATTAAGCTTTATTTTTCTTCTCCGCTCTTCGGGGAACTTTAAGTGCATGCGGGTGTTTTGTGGAAAAGCGCTAAAGGGAAATGGAGGGAAAAAACTAGAGGTTTAGAGCTGGCATCTCACGTGACTGGATCAACATCTCAATGCCTCGGGAGTGCAAGTGTGTGGAGGATTTTCCGTGAGCTTTGTACTGAGTTCACACACACTTACTTTTGTTGATAATAAAATGTCCCAAAGGAGTTCGTTTTTTAGAAAGAAATGAAAAACTAGTTCTGGTGATAATTAATATTTTTATTTATCTTTTGGTAATGAAAACCGTTTTAAAAGTCATTAATATCTTTCCATAAAATCATAGGTTTTTATTGTAAGCCTAACTATGTTAACGTTATCAAATATGCTTTCAAAAGAATAATCCTCAAATAACTACAAAGACTTTGTTGATTATCAATTCAAACAGATCATTCTTATCACTCGAGAAAAGTAAATTAAAGCTTCTGATTTAAGCATCCTCCATCCAAACGCTTGCTGAGATTAAACCATTTGGACAGTTGTAAATTTATTTAAATCCATTGGCAGTTGTTTGATATATTCCCGCAAAGGATTTGCCAAATTTTAAACCCATTTTCCCACCCACACAAAAGCAAAAAGCGAAACTTGCCAACGCATAAACAAATATGCCAAAAACAACGCAAAAAATTGTGTGGAAAATCTCGCGCGCTTACAAAAAAATAAACAAAACAAAGGGAAACCCAAAACAAAAAATGAATTGGTTCCATTTGCTGACCCAAAAACGGGAGTGAAAAAGGGATAGCCCATGGAGGTGGGCGGTAACTTGTGGGGGCGTGGCGTTTACCCTCATTTTTGTTTATCTTAGTACAATATATTTGTTTATTTATTCAAGTCTTTTTCTTTTGCGCATTGTTTCTTTTTTTTTGCATAAATATTTTGATTGATATTGTTTAATTATTCGGGCTGACTTGAATGCACTTACTTTTAAGAATTTTTCGGGGGTTTTGATCTTTTCTTCTTCTCAAATAAACGACTTATTATACCACAGAATTTATTAAGATCGCTTTGTTTTGGTTAAATGCTGTTTTGCAGGCTGTTTATCAGCTGTCTTCGATCATATTTCCATTGATATCGTTTCGAAAATGGCTTTTTCGAACTCTCAACTGTTACACTTATGCACTTTTTTTAACCACTCATGCACGAGATGGTTTTTTTTTCGGGGTTTAGTGGATGTTTTATTTGTTGTTAATTATTTTTGTTGTTGACCGGTCACACACACGCACACTCACTCACAGCTGACACTGAGGGCAACAGTACCGTTAATCCAAGCGTCCGTGACCTGCGATCCGTTACAATACTCGCGTCGAAAAAGACTGAACGTATCTATGAGATACATTCGCTGTGGCGTTTTTTCGGTCCCAGCCGAAATGTCAAACGACCACGAACATGTTGCCGCAAACATGTTGCAGGAGCTCATGTTGCACGGAAGTAACCTCCTGATTGGTTGGTCTTACTTCGCGAACAAATCTAGTTTCCGGTTAGAAAAATATCATCGTTTTTGAAAAGCGAATGGTCATAATATAAAAAAGGTATGCCATTAGAAAGTTTTTTTCGAAACTATAGTAATAGTTTTTAGACACAAATTTGTTTATTTACATATTTTAGTACATTTTAAACAACAAAACGGGTTTCTTAAAAAAAGTAAAATATCTAGCGAATAACATAAAGCATAAAACCAAAATCAAGTATAAATATTACTTCAAAATTCGTTTAATTTTCTTACTAATTATTTTGTTACTTCGGAAGTTAATCCGATGCCAAAACGACTTCACCCGAAACCGCACGAACTGGCGCCCTCTAGTGGAATTTTGGTGCAACCGCCGTCTTATACGTTCTTAGCAGAGTTCTAACAGCCCAAGTTTGAATGGATTTGTTTGATGAGGAGAAGCGGTTCGAGGTTGCAGGCAGTTCAAAATGAGTTCGAAACCAGCTTCAGTATTAAGGAGAAAAAAAAGTGCATAATGATTAAAAGGCAACCGAATATTACGACCAAATCTTAGCGAATGATGGATGGTTAATAAGCTAGCAAAATGGTGGCAACTCCAAAAGATTAAAGCCGATTGGCAGTTGGTGGTATTACGGAAACGTGTAAGTGGGCGTAGATCATGGATAATGAGGGAATAATGATACGATTGAAGAAGATGGATCTTTCAGTCAAAATAAAAGAATAGTTTTAATAGAAATTCAAGCCATTATTGGGATTTTTTTTGCCAATTTCTATTTCACTTTTGTTAAATAGATCTCATTAAATTCTTATAAGAAATCAGAAAAAACAATTTCAACAGGCAGCGTCAAGAATGAACATGACCAACCAAATTGTTTGTCCTTTAGTTTTATGACCTCTACTGATAAGCAGGTATCTCTGGGGTAGTGTTAAGGGATATGTAGAAATTAGTAGGTAGAAATACTAATGGTGTTGTTTACCAACCCAAACATTGGGTTGAAAACCTTGATGTTGGTAATGTGCTTGGATTGGTAAACAATATTAATGACTTATTTTGTTTAATAAACATTATAGTTCCAAAACTGATATTTTTGCTTCAAAAAAAAAAAAATAGGACTAGCTATCAAGAATAAAACTTTAACACCTTATTAACAAGATACCATAGTCACACATCTGTGAATAAACTCAGCCACTTTATGGAGCACCTTTGCATTTTGTGTCCTAAGGTGATTGCCATCTTGCCCCCGGATTTCCCATTAAGAAATGCCGCAAGAAAATATCCTGACCATATCTACTTATAATGTAAATAGCGGCACGCCCATAAAACAATTTGCCCCGTCTTACAAAAAACCCCAGAAAGAGGCAGCTACAAATTTAACACTTAATTGTATTAACAGGCCCAGACATACAAAAAGGGAGGGATGTATATGTAGGTATATAAATAAGGGGCATGGGTAATCCCAGGCAAAACCAAATCCGGACGCGTGTCCAGTTTGTGTTGTTGTTTGCTTAGACAGTTTAGGGCCCGCACAAAGGGCCAATACAAAAAAGAGGCTATAAGGCCAAGAAAACAACCCGAGGAGGCAGAGATTGAAACGGGAAAAAGATAGGGAGGAGCGCTCCGGTTTGATTGATGATTTTATGACATTGTTTACTCGAGTGATGATGAGAAGAGTAAGCAGATAGCCGGCCGGCCATCCTTTGTGTCCTTTCAAGCCGGTGTCGAGTGAGACCCGCTCCTCGGACGCTCCTAATAATTCCCCAGACCCCCACCCACCATTTCCCCTTTTTATGGGCCTTCCCTGGAATGCTATCAATCTTTTGCTTATTAGGGATAATATTACAATTACTTGTAAGTGAGATAAGCCTTAGGGCAGTCGAGAGTCCTTAGTCGGAGTCGGAGTCGGGATTCGGGCTTATCCGGGGCTCGCCTTGGGTTAAGTGTTCAAGTGGTCGCTTTGATCTCGGAATGTGTGCGAGTGTGTTGTGTAAACAGATATCGGTTCAAGTGAAGAAGTCAAATGATTGACAAGACCTAGCGGAGGAGGGTCTTCTTCCAGAAGAAGAGTTTCCCGTTCGAAGAAGCAAGAATTCGAGGCGCCTCTACTGATTCTTCTAACAAAACATGCCGACACAGATTTAATTACATGGTAGTGATCGCTGAAACAAGAACTTAAAGTGGAATCTAAAAACTTCAGTTTAACTTATTAAAAAAAATATTAAAATATCCACGTAATATTTTGAACTTATTAGTTGTTGTCAAATACTAGTTCATATTTAATTTTTGTACGCTACTGATCCCATTCTTCACCCACCTTTCTATGCCACATTTAACCACAAAAAAAACTTCTAGTTCCTTTTTGAGGTCCTCTCACCTGTCTCATCTCAGCTCAACCTGTTTCAATTTAGTCATAAACCCTGGCACATATACCTGCAGCCAGAAACACCCGCAGGTTTCAGTTGAGCGCTGTGTTTTGTGTTCCGTCGGTTTGGTCAGGAAGCCAGCTGGTTCCATGGTCACTACACCGCCGCATGTCCTTTATCCTTTTGTCCTGGCCCGGTTTGATGATAAATTAGACAGAAGGACATGGAGCGAGGCAAGGCAACAGCAGACAGCATTTGCGGCTCTTTAGTTGGCCTCGCCGGCATTTACCTTTCTTTCGCCTTTCTTACTCTGCTCCCTCTATTTTATTACTTTATTATGGTCTTCGAGGCAGAGTCCTGTCTTGTGCCAAGGTCCTCTGTGAAAGTTGATGTGTGCTTGTGTTTGAACTGAAGTAACGAAGCCGATGAGTGGTTACATCACCGGTTAATGGCTCGGTAATTGCCCGTTGAATTTGTCAGCAGTTTCCTATTGGGTTTTCACTTGATTGAATTCAATTTTAAATCGTACTTTAAATTGCCAAATCTTGTTTAATATTTTTTTTTACAAAACTAAATTTTTCATTCAAGAATATTAAATGATTTTTATGGTTTTATTTTATGTATAGAACAGTACATTATAAATGTTATAAAACTTCTAACAATTTTATAAGCATATTTTTAGGGAAAAAACGAAAAACAGATTTTCATGACACGTGGCAAGGAGTAACGAACCCCTAGGTGTTTTCCCCCATTTATTCTCGATTTTTCATCAGCTGCTCTTTTCCCCAGCAATAAAAAAAATAGATCAACCTTGAACCGCAGAACAATAAAAATTAAAACACGTTTTCGATCCGTGGAAGGACTTTTCCTTTTCGAAAAGGGGATGGATTTGGTATTTGAACACATGTCAAGCTGTCAATGTTTATCTATTTTGGGGGTAAGGTGCCTATTTCCCCCCTCTCCGTCTCCTTCTCACTTTCAACTCTCCACGTGAAGTGGCAGCCGTGAATTGAGGATTATCGGGCGTCTTGTTGATTTATGGCCAGGCAAACACACACAAAATGTACCAAAATTCGAGTCAAAATGTGATTGAAAACTGATAAGCCACACAGGATTGCCTCTGGGGGTGTGGCCTCAAAGGGGCGGGGGGTGTTGTATAGGTGTAACTGGGTTGTAAAGGGGGTTATTAGTGTAAATGTCAGCTGGGCGAAAGTGTTGAGTGCACGTCCATCAAACTTGGTCTGCGGTCAGTGGACTGGGATTGCGATTGGGGATTTCACAGAGAGACACTGCCACGTTCCCTGGAGTTTGTCATGTTTTGTTGCGAATCTACACAGGCAAAAAGTGAGCTTAAACTAATCACAGACTACCAAGAATATGGCATTGTTTACCTTATCATCCTAAGTATTGCTTGAAAAGTTAAGACAGAAAATTAAACTCTAAGGAGTTCTTTTAAAAATATGCGGGAAAAGAAAAACCAATCCAAACTAGAATTCCTTTATTTCAAAATAAGAAAGGGAATTAGAATTCGAGTGTAGAAATCAATAGAATCCTTTTGCAATGCACCGAGTGGATAAGCAATGCTGATGCCTTAATTTACCACTAATTTGTGCTTATCTCGCCCAACTCCCTGACAACTTTGTGCCACATGCTACGCCCGACTTGGGCGGCACTTGCCTCACTTGCCTCAGAGGCCTGGGAACGGGGAGTTCCGTGGGGAAGCTCAACTTGCAACCGAGGCAAATCGCTTTAGCGACGCCTGTTTATGGGAAGTTGCACTCGGGCTGGCAATCTGAAAGCCGACCAAGCTCCAAGTTTAAAACTGGTCATCACTCATGCATTTATCAGGCATTGGTCCGTTGTGGCAAGGAATTTGGTTTCTGAGAAGCCGACTGCTTTATAAAGAGCTTTGTTTTGATAAAGAAACTCCTCTAAGTATTATTAAAAGCATTAGTATTAGCAATACTAAAAGCGTTGAATGAACCGGCATTGTAAAGTATAGGAAATTAGTGGAAAACTGTTAAATTTTTAACTATAAATAAAACAGACTTGCTAAATTGTACATCAAACAAATAAATGGCTTTACAACTCATTTAATTAGCTTCTACCTAATAATGTTTTCTGAGATTTCTGACAAAATAATAGGATTATAACAAGTTGCACTTAAAACGAACCGTAAGCAAACACTTAAAAGTATTTGAGAATATACATAAGTGTCTTTGTTTAGTTTTCTGTGTAAGCCTTTTAATCAACTTTATTAATATTAATAAAGCCAGAGAACAGGCAAAAAGGAGAGGCGAGAAACAATGCTAAAACATTCGTCAACAATTATACAATTACACTCCAGGCCAAATTGCCCGGAGAGAAGCTGAGAAACGGAGCTCTTAATGGTAATTCACTTAAATAATCATTAGTCAAACAATTTCAGGGGCCAGCAACAAGAACCCTTTCTCCAGCAACCGCAAAAAGTGGAATAATGTGGGGAATAATGTAT